GCCTCGGCGAGGCGCCCGGTGCCACCCCTCGCCGGGGTGCTCCTGACCTGCCACCGCCATCACCCGCGGGGCGCTGAGATCCGCTGCCCCTGCACAGGGCAGAAATAGGAAGTCAGGTTCACCTCCCAAACCCTTTCCAAGGGCATCTTTGATTAGGCCCTCGTTACTGAATGCGTGCTACCAGTCTAGCGAGGAGCTGTGACTTTCCGCCTTGCTCTGCCGTGGCTTGCGGGATATGCTGCCAAGGCAGCCCCCAAATGTCCTGAAATCAGTGTCGGTCTGAAGCAGGTGAACCCTTAAAAACCCTGGAAAAAATAAGGAACTAAAATATTTCTCTTTAAGGATGCAAAAATATTCAAATGTTAAACTAAAAGGGCTCTTGTCTCACCCTACGAGCCGTTTGAGAGCATTGCTCATTCAGTCACAGAAGTATTTTAATACTTTAAAAAAACTGCCACAAAACATCTGCAGTCTGCAAAGAGCTCTTCTGAAAAGCATCTTGTAGGCGCTCCGTGATGCATCCCCGAAGGATTTATTACTCCAGTTGGCTGGCTCTCAGCAAATCCCCGTGCCTTCGTGTAGATGGCACTCTGCAGCCTTGCGCGGGTTTCTGTGAAGAGCGCAAGTTTTGGCAGTCGCAGCTTGGATCTTTAGTTTTAATTTTATCAAACTCTGGTTACATGAATGGGCAGGAGAGGAAAAGGCGGGGCGGGGGGGGCGCGAAAAGTGGGACATCAGTGCAATTTCCAAGGGTTTGTGAGCTCCACAAACTTAGAGGAAAATACTGTTTTCTGCTGGAGCAGGTGCTGGCACCTCAGTGTTCGTTTGGCAAACGTGCTGCACGTGTTGGAAAGCTGCGGCGTAGGCAGATCCCCGGTTGGCTCCCTAGAGAGCCAGGTCCATCGCTCATGTACCTGCTTCTCCTCCTTGCGGGCTGTGCTATTTCTCAGCCTTTCTGTTGCTGAATATTTGGACCGTCCAAGCGCTTTCACTGTTTCTGTCCCCCAGGTCACTGCATGTCATGCATTCAAGCCTGTAAAGGCTTGCAGTCAAATAAAGGGACAGAAAACAGGCAGAAGAGGGTGCTTAGTATTTGGATACTGATATGCTGCTGAAAATAGAGTTCTCCCAGGACACTACCTTCTTACTTTTAAAGGCAAATTTGTTGCTTTCTCCAAATTTATTTTTCTGGCTATTCTAAGGCAGCAAGAGAAATGAGCAGAGGCGTCAAATACAAAATAGGGATCTGATAAAGGCAATATAGGGGAGGATGAAAAAGAGGCATACTGGAGACATGCTGAAATGACCAGGGGAAAATATAATGAGCTAGAAGTACAAAGGGTGAGGCAGGAGCTGATAATAGCAACGCACTTTTTAAAAATCACCAGTGGGGGTGAGTACCACCAGTGCCACCTCTGATCATCTACGTTAGCGGCGTTTGATCTCAGGCGATGAGTGAATCCATCCTCAATCTCTGGCCAAGCAGGCACCCGGGGAAGCGCAGGGTGCACATGCCCCATGTGTCTGGTTCCACGTACGCCTTGCTATAACGCTAGGGAATTTACTGGCCTAAATAGCATGGGAGGTGAATATCTCGGGTAACTCTCTGGTGGTCTCCTTTCTTCAGCACGTGCTGGCGAGTAAAGGTTTTTGCTTATCCATATGGTCCCTGCCTGCCAAGCACGCTGTGTGGCTGACGTGTGGTTAAGCACTGAAATGAGCTAAATCTGGCACAACTCTGTCAGTGGAGACTCTTTTTAACTGAAGACATCAGTGCTGGAAATGACATCTGGGGATACTTAGCCGAGACATTTCAGTCCATGTATTTTCAGTGCCTGCTCTGAACAAGCTCTCTCAGAGTATTAGTTACTCATTAGCTTTTGCAGGACCCTTGGAGAAGAGGTTGGGCTGCCGGGGCCCCTGCTTCTCAGATGGTGCTCTGGCTCTGATGCCTCGTCTCAGACCTTCCTGGGAACATCATCTTGTGCGGCCTCAGGGATGTCCCTTAGGGCGGTGATGCCTCCATCTGCATGGAGTTCCCTCCTTCTCGCTACTCAAAGGATGTTTTGCATACTGGGAGAGCATCTTCGGGTGATGTTTTCCTGGTTGGTACTGATCAGCGGCTGGACCTAGCTCAGTGCACGAGGCTGGAGGCTTTTTTAGATTCGTATGATGTATTTCAGGCTATTTTGCAAAAAGGAGCAGATATCGTTGAGATGTTTCCAGTGGGCAGGTCCTCACAGGGTGCCAATTATCACAGCATCAGTGGGTTTCTCAGTTCAGTGACCATTTTCACCAGTTTGTGATTTTGCCCCTGCATTGCTATATGCAACTGGTGACAGCGTGAACATGATTCACCCTCTCCTCCTCCAACTTCTACCATTTTCTTTCCTTTTTTCTTTTTTTCCCCTCTTACTCAGTTCTGACAGGTTGTCTGTGTGTCTGGATGCATTTCCTGGAGTTCTCTTTAACTTCTATGCATCTAGAGAGGGCAACATCATGTGTCCAACTGCTTCATGCAAATCTGCACTGGGTTAGCTTGCAAAAAGCACATGCTGTGTTTGTCGCTTTGCAGTCACCCCACGGTCGTCCCCTGTTCAGGGCTAAGAGCAGCTCTGGGACACAGCTGTGTAGAGCTATTACCCCGTCCTCCTTCAACTTGCCGCCCTCAAGGTCTGTTACTGCTAAAACAAGAAAGATGATCAAGCATTGTGCAAGTTGGAAGACTTGAGGAAAAAAAAAAACCCCTCCAAATTACATAATGATTAATTCATTTATTTAAATTTGACCTACTTTTCCTACTACTTTTCCTGTATTGATATAGGATGTGACAAAAGGAAACCTGCAAATAGAGATTCATGCAGCCAGCCTGGCAGCTGTCCTCCCATGCTGGGTCCTCCTGTCCTAGTCTGTTAATCTCTGCTGGAAAGCGTTGCCTTACAGGATGGATTTGTACCACTCAGATCCTCAACTGCATCACTTAGTGCTCCTAAAATTGTTAGATACTCTGAAAAATCACAGTTCATGGTGGTTAACATGAAGGCAGTGTGCTTTCCCCAGAGCTGCTCCACGCTCGTTAGGGAGGTTTCTAAATGCATCATCTTTGGTCCCTTGCTACGCTCCATCTCCACAGTGGCCCGAGGGTGGTTTGCAGGGCGAGGATGCTGGTGGTGAGCAATGGGGATGCCACGGTGAGGCAGGCGGGAGGCATGACGGGGCACGCCACTGGCTTGTCCACACCGGACGTGAGCGACCCGAAGGAAACGTTGTGCTCAAGGCTGAGCAAATGGAGGCACGTGAGTCAGAGGTGATTTCCGCACGCTTCCATGGGACAGCAGAAGTAGTTTCCAGTGGTGAGAAGAGGGATTTGAGGATATGGCCCGTGTGTGAGCAAGGCGGGTGTGAAGGCTCTAGATGCAGTTCCTGGTGTTACAAACCAGGGCAGACCCAGACCTGCTCTGCTCCCGCCAGCAGGAACGGTCTCAAAGTCCTTCTGCTACTTCGGCAGTACCCTGGCTGTGCCGGGGGAGCCCTCGGGCTGCTGGCTGCTACAGCGGAAACCCTGCTGGGGACCGTCAGCAAGGTTAATACTTCCAGCATTTTCTGGTGAGATTCTGTTTGTGGTGTTTACCAGAAGTTGCTTAAATGCAGAAGTTATTCTATTAAAAGATTAAGGTGCCATTAATCATGCCTCTTATCTCCTCCCCACTTTTTTTCTGGTAGGCTGGCTTTGTATTACTCATGGGATCTTTTTGATTTTTCTCCATTCAGAAGAATAAGTTTATTCACATGTTCTCTTCTGTTGTGTCATTCTCAGGCAAGAAGCATCCTTGAGAAAATTTCAGGCAACTGCATCAAATTGTTTAGCATTTCAAATGCAGCTGTACTTTTCCCTCTAGGTGGGAACCCTTTAGGTTTCTTGTGAGTGATGTATTTAATCCATGGTTAGCCTTCGATGTGCGAGAGGTTCCTAGCTGGTTTAGTTTCATCCTACATGGACTTGTGCACAAAATAAAGCATTTGAGACGTAGTGAATTTCCTTGAAAATTCGCACTGTGAAGCTAAGCAGAGCTGAGGCCTGCTTCTGGCAGCTGGGTCATGCCGTGGCCCTTCCCGAGGCACTCGTGGCAGCGATGTGTTCCTCGCAGCACAAGTTGGTGGAAGGACCTCAACGAGCAGCTCCAAATTTGTCAAGGAAAAAGTAGGAACTAGAATAAAAACAATGCAAAAATTTGTTTTTAGTTGCCTCAGTTATTGTGGCTCTCTGCAACACGGTCCATGGATGTGGCAAAAAGGTCCTGAGTGCTTGAAAGTAAAAGGTCCTGGGTGAACCTCAAATTACAGCCAAAGCACTGCATTTAGCTTCGCTGCTCACGTTGGTGCCTCTGGTTCTTTCACTGAGGCGATCCTCCCGTGCCGAGCAACCTGGAAATAAAGCTCTGCTCATCTCTTTCATTCATCGCTATTTAACGTTTGATTTAATAGCTGTAGATGTGCTATTGTGTTGTTCAGTCTATTTATCCCTTGAAAGGCATAATTTTTAAAGCTGAAAATGACTATTTTTAAAGAGAGGCCCAATCTTTAGGCATTTTAAGTGTGTAATATTTCTTTCAGTGTACATTGAGTTTTCCTGTATCTTTTAATTCAATACAGGTGCCTGTCCAACGTTTGTGCAAACTTTAAAAAAAAAAAAAGTAAGAATGAGATAATAAAAATACCATACTGGTGTAACATGGTTAACATTGTCTTCAAAATTTCTGGGTGCTGCATGACTTTGTACAGTGCACCTTTGGGCTTTACAGTCTGCTTGATGGGGGATGACGGTGTAAATCCATCTGTAGTACTCAGAAGCTCACTGAAGGCAAAGCCCCCCTCTTGCAAACGTATATTGTATAGCACCAATATATATTAAAAATATATATTGTCCAGTCACTCAGTATCCGTGCAAGCAGCTGTCTGGTGAGCGTTTGGCATTACCAGCAAAGGCAGAAAATCAGGGACCTGCTTCTGACCTCCCTCATCCACGAGTACAGTGATTTCTCTGGGGATTTAGAAACCATTTGCCATGGGGAGTTTTCTAAATTTCTTCTGCTTCCTCAGAAATCAGCTTATAACTTGCTCCCCAGTTCTTTATTTAATTCTGTCCATGTGACCTTTATTTGCCTCGTTTGTGCAAGGAGGGACCCAGAGAGATACCTGGTACTATTGCATGCAAAACACTTCTTAATTTATGTGCTAATTAACCTGACTGCACAACTTGATTGTTAGGAACTTAAGTCTCCTGGCAGGTTTGTCTTTGGGGATAATGATCCTTACACTTCATTTTAAATAGAGCAAGGAGTGCAGGGGTTTGAGTGCTGGGGGAAGCAGCCGGGTTTGCAGGGTGAGAGCGCTGTGTACCCTGTGGAGGTTCCAGAAGCTTTAGAAATATCTGCTTTTAGGCTTCTGTTTTAATGGAAGTTTTATTTTAGGAAGTTTTATTTTAGGAAGTTTTACTTAACATCATCCTAAAGTTTATTTCTTTATTTCTTTTTTTTTTTTCATAGGAAATCAGAGTCTTTTAGAGAAGCTTTCCTGAAGAGGTCACCCTGATGTTACCTGGAGAGATAGCAACAACGGCCTGTTCTCACGGCAGACTTCCAGCACCCGGAGCTAATTCCCCATGCTGCTTCAGGCTCCTTTCCTGACCCAAGGCAAGTTACCGAAATCTCTGTGTGCTCTTGGCAAAGCTGGTGTAGACATCTAAACTTGTGTGATCTGAGTGCCTAAGTCCCTCCAATACCTGATCTGTGTTCCCACCTCTGCTCTAGTTACCCATCTGTGAAATGAGTGTAAATGCAGCATTTGTCTGAGGTGCCATGAGGATAAATCTGGGGAAGGTGGTGAGATGCCCATACACATATTGTAAATGCCCTTTGTGCTGTCATCTTTCTCTCAGCTGGACCAGTCAATCCCTGGAGAGATGCCATCAGATGATTAATGTGTGAGCGTACTTTGTTATTAAGGGGCTTTTCCAGTGATGCAAAGTTTGTGGCATTTGGGTTGCAAGCAGGAGGTTTAATCCAGGCTGGTGCCGAGGTGCGATGCTTCAGCCCCAGTTCGGAGTCCCATGAAATTCGAGGTCCGTGCATCCTTCCCCTCCACCTCTCGCTTCTCTCCCAGCAGCAGCAGCCTGCAATCTGGCTATGCCAGCGCAGTTGTGCATTGGTCGTTCTGTGAACTGACTGAGATTAAAAAACCTGCAAAAAAGGATGATTTTTCAGAGGGCGGGCCAGTTCAGGAATGATGCTGAGCATGGGAGGAGAGGTCAATGGGAATAGCTATCGTGAAAGCCCGTCCTTTGGATCTCAGCTGAGTTTGTGGGGTTCA